GTATAGCATGGCTGTTAACGAATGTTGTCATATAAATAAATACATTGTGTAATATATATATATATATATGTAATATAATAATATAATATATAATTAAATTAAATTAAATATATATTATATTAATAATAATAATCATAACAGTAATAGTAATAATTATAATAATAATAATAATAGTAATAGTAATTATAATAATAGTAATAATAATAATAGTAATATGTAGTAATAATAGTAATAATGATAGTAATAATAATAGTAGTAATAATAATAATAATAATAATAATAATAATAATAATAATAATAATAATAATAATAATAATAATAATAGTAATAATGATAATAGTAATAGTAACAGTAAAGATGAACCCTCTAAGCGCTTCACATTGTTATTCCGGTCATTGGATCAAACACATATGGAACACTAACTCAGCTCCCTTGGGATAACTCCATAATATCGCAGGTATTAATCAGTGCAGTTTTGTTTGAACCTGCCAGTATTGTACTCCTGGGAGAGAGGTAAAGTATCTTTCCTAAGGACACAAACGATGCGACGATTTATATATATATAAATCAAGAAGGCCGTTAACACCGTTAAATTGTATATAAATCATCAAAGAAAGGTAAGTGTTAGACTAAAAACATTATTTGTTTCTAGCCGTACCTATATAGTGGAGTGCCTTAGCGCCAGGATCGTGACACGGGTGATAAAAGTGCCAATTTTGGCACAGATATTAGTATGGGCATACAGTTTTGGTGGGGAATAGAATTTTCAGGCTTGCCAATTACTCTTCCTTTTCCAATAAATGTGGTATATCACGCTCTGTAAAATTAAGGAAAAGGGGTAGGGCACTGGAACATACAGTACTTTCCTCGAGATATTTGCACAAATTATTGATGCTATAGTAACAGAAGTGATGTGATATTGCTAATGCAGAGGTATACAGATGTAAAGGACATAAAACGCTTCTTCGGAAGTCTCCCACAACACCCAATGAATACAAATTTAAATAGAATATTTACAAATTATTGGTTTCATAAATCCATTATACTGTTTAGCTAAAGGTTCACTTTTTAAAACCCATTTTCACTATCGTTCCTAATTATTACCAAATGCTGTAGTATGCATTTCATTTGCCATCTCTTCTAACTGTCAATATTTAATAACTGTGGTACGAATTTGTTATTTTGGGGATTTATCCATATTAATAATGTTACTTCTAGGCATACAGATGTACAGGTGTCAGGACGTGGTTACTTCTGGTTACAGGTTTCTTCTTCAGGTCCCCAAGAACCCCAAAATTAATGCAAATTTAAATAGCATAATTACTAAATTATGGGTTTCAGAAATCCACTATAGGCCCAAAGCTTTGCCCCCAAACTACCGCCAAGGGCACTGCTCTTTATCCATCTGGGGCCATAGGTGGCATGCAGACTAAAGACCATGTTGCTAGCAAAACGCATCCCCACCCCCGTCGAAACTGTCACGGGAAGAAATGTGCATCCTTATAGGCCTTGATAGATTATGGGTGAGTTCAATGAGGTTCAAAATCGGGCGATCATTATCTATGGCTTTCGAGAGCGTCTAACTACTATCTATAGAAAAACGAAGCCCAAACCTCTATTTTTACAAAAAATTAACTGTATTTAGCCCAGGTAAAATTTTTGATTGATTGAAACATTTTTTTAAACTGTCTGTCATATTCTGACACTGTTACTGATCAGTGAGGTATAATATATAACATACATGGCATATCAGGATATAGTTTAAATCTCAACAAAATTCTATATTTTTTTTTTACCAAAAATAAGTTTTTTAACCAAAAAATTAACAAAATTGGGATTTTTAAAAACCTTTACGTAAGATTCTGATATGTTATTGACTAGTAAGGTAATATATTGGTTAAAATGAATTTTTTACATACCAAGAATTGCAATTATATTTTTATATGTAGACAAATCTCAATTTTTTACCAATGCCTTTATAAGATTCTGATATATTATTGACCATCGAGGTATAATACTGTATTGGTTAAAATATATTTTTACATACAGAGCATATCAGTATAAATGTCAAAAATCTATTTTGTACCAAAAATCGTCGCTTAAACTCAAAAATAGGAACAATTGGGATTCTTTAAGACTGTTATGTCAGATTCAGGCACATTATTGATCAGTGAGGTATGATATCGGTTAAAATATATTTTTACATGCAGAGCATATTAGTTATAATTTAAATGTCATTAAATCTATAATTTTTAACAAAAAAAATCATATTTTTAGCCTAAAAATGACCAAAAATTTGGGGTTTTTTTAAAACCCTTATGTCAGGATTCTGACATGTTATCGACCAGTGAGGTATAATTTTGATTAGAATATATTTTTACATGCAAAGCATATCAGGTATAGTTTAAATGTCAAAAAAATCTATATTTTTTTCAAAAAAATAATGTTTTTAGCCCAAAAAACGTGTCAAAAAATTGAGTTTTTTTGGTTTCAGAGATTTTCTTGAAAAGCATGTTGATAAAACTATTTCATTCTTATATGCTTATTGTGAAAAAGAATGACCATATAGATTCTAAGCCTGTTTGTACAAGTAGGCCTTGTAATATAATAGTCAAAAATACTAAAATATTAAAAATCATTTTCCCCCCCAAAAAAATTCAATTTTTTACTCCAAAAAAAAATTTTTTTTTTGGCTCCAGAGATTTTTCGAAATGGTATGCCCATACTAATATCTGTACCAAATTTGGCACTTTTGTCATCCAGGTAATCCAATTATTAGCCTATGCACAGGGTTAAAATCTAGATTAATACAAAAGCGACTTTTTCGTTCAAAAAATCTTTTATTTTTTTAAAAGTTTTTTTCATCTTTATTTGCTTATTTCTGACTAAGTAATGATCATATTGATTATAAACCTATTTATACAGGTAGGGCTTGCACTATAGCAGTCAAAAATACCAAAATATTGAAAACTGTATTTTTTACCCCAAAAATAAGATTTTATTTTTGGCTCCCGAGATTCTCTTTAAAAGCATGTTGATAAAAGTATCTCCACCAAAAATTAAAATGTTGTCATCCGTGTCACGATTCTTCCATATTTTGACGTTAAGGCACTCTACTATATATCTGCCGGTATTTAAATCTGTTCAACTATGTGGTCTAACAGTTATTAGGTTCGGCTTGACAGCGAGAGGTCGCAGGTTCGAATCCCCACAGAGGTATTTTATTACATAATTTCTTTATTCCGTTTATTTGTAGGACTACATTCGTTGAGAGCTATGCTACACGATGTATTATCATGTCCTTTGTTCGAGCATTGTATTTACCTTTCTTTAATGATTTAACTTGTTGGTTCAATTTTTTTCACACTCACAGATTAAATCTCGTGAATTACCGTACTCGCGCGAATAAGCGCTCTGGCGCTTAAAATATTTTTTGCACTTTCTGAGGGGCGCTTATTCAAACGGGGCGCTTATTTAAACGGGGCGCTTATGAAAACAGAGTGGAAATTGAGGGGGTGCTTATGGAAATAGATGAAAATCGAGGGGTTCTTATGGAAAATTTTTAAATTCAAGAGTCACTTTTTGAATGAAAAAAGATTATATAAGGACATCACGAATGCTGGTTAGAAAAGATAATCGTCCAGAAAAAATGGCTCATTACAAGAATGCGTGAATATTTCCATAACAGCAAAATAGCAGATGCTATTGGTTAGCTTGTTTGCCTTCGGCCGATTGAGATTAGCAGGATGGCAGGATCATTGTATTTTTTCTTGAAAACTAGATGAGAATGTGCTAAAGGTCGGGAAAAGAAAAAGAGGCGTAGGACTAGGCATAGACAATATGTAAAAAGAGTAAAGTTGGAAATATACTGTCTGTCCAGGGATCGGAGCTCTCATCTGTCCAAGAGAAATATCCTCATTTTGATATTGACTGAAGAAGAATGTGTTTCCACTCTACAGCTCAAATCATGCCAACAACCACAGTCCTAGGATTGATTGGATTATTGACTTGCTAAAAAGAAAATCTTATGAGGGGCGCTTATTCAAACGGGGCGCTTATTCGCGCGAGTACGGTATTTATAATCATCTTTATAGAACATAGTTTGTACATGCGCTATTTTAAAATATGTGTCAGCCTGATCTGATCAGCTGTTCTGTACATCGCGATGGGACTCTTCAGGCATTTACTATTATGACCTCGGAACTCCGCCTTTTTATGGGCCTTGTATTTGAATCAATGCAAAAATAAAACGAGTGATTGAGTACATTCTGAATTTTAATACATTTATATTTACTGTCAATCTGCAAATACAAAATACTTTGGCAGATAGATTTTTCGGTAGAGGTTGCGTGGGAGTCAAAATTCATGAGAAACTATAGTTTTATACTGCGTTTTATACATGCGTTTTCTGATTATGCACTCCATGTTAATATCAGGGTCTGTCACTCGCGATATTTTTAGAAGAGGAAAACTGTAAAAAAATCAGAAAAGAAAATATTGATAATTAAAATTTATAAAACCAGTCGACTCTGATATTTTCCTAATAGTTTTGACCTGGGCGAAACGATTTGTTTTTTAGGCCTATTGCATGACGGGGGATAATCTATGATGAATGAATTCTTCGCGTTCAACTTCGTACAGAAACTTGAAGTGACATTCCGCGTTCCCGAGTTTCCAAGATAATTATCTAGGAAACACGCAATAGACGTCTTCCCAGACCTAAATATCTCAGAAAACTTATCAGTAGGTCAATATTTTGTTAATGGTCCAATAAAGAAATGGTTAAATTTTGGTTACGATGCATAGCAGGGTGTGGACATGAGGACTATTCACAGGAAAATATCCATCGAGTAAAAAATAATTGCAATTTTGTGACGATCCTGAGTAGGGTGTGGATATGAGAACCATTCGAAGAAAAACGTCCCAGACCAGATATTTTAAAAACTGATAAATTAATCTCAATGAAACTTTCGGGAAAGTTTAATCAAGTTACAAGGAAGAAATTATTAAATGTTGGTGACCATCCAGTTTCGGGTGTGAATTTTAGGGTCATTTAAAGTTCCAACTTTCCATACCTAAAACATCTCCAAACATCTATCAATAGATCTAAATGCCGCTTTCTATATTATTTTGTCGTGGTCCAATTAAAAAATGATTAAATTTTGGTGACAATCCAGAGTAACATGTGGACATGAACACCATTGAAATGGAAACGTCCAAGACCAGATACACCAAACACTTACAAACTGATCTGAATGAAACTTTTTAGAAAGTTTAACCAAGTTACAAATAAAATATTATTAAACTGTGGTGATGATACAGATTCATGTGTGCGAAGTTTGGGGTAATGTTTAAGTGCTAACGTCACAAAACTAAATTTAAAAAAAACTGACCAATAGATCAAAATGAAACTTTACAGAATGGTTTTGTCATAGGCCACTAGAGTAGGGTGTGGACATAAAGGCCATGCTACGGTAGACGTCCAAGACCAGATATCCAAAAACTGATCAACTTATCTGAATGAAACTTCCTGGAATCTTATTCGGGTGTGAATTTCAGGGTCATTAAAATTGCTCAATATGTCTAATAACTTTATAAAGGGATCTAAATGAAACTTTCAACAATATTTTTTCATGGGTCCAGTGAAGAAATGATTAAATTTTGGTGACGATCCGGTAGGGTGTTGATATGAGGACCATTTAAAGAATGTTATGGAACAGTTAAATAAACTATATAAACGCAATTCACGGTTTACTAAAGTGTTTAAATCAACTGCATCTAGGTTCAACGCAAAATTACCGAGATATCCATGAACAATTTTTGCTTTCAGTCACTGAATTACATGAACTACAAATACATTGACGCCTGGTCGGCTCATACAGCGCGCAGTGGTTATGAGCCTTCATATTACCTTCGCTATTACCAATACAGCTATAGTTCGAGTCACACTAACGACGAAATTGGTTTTCATTGTTTTTTAGCCGTCATAACTTTCTTCAGTAGTATTTATTATTTTTGTTTCTCGTGTGTTTTTTACTCTATACTTTTTAATGACTTTTTTTTGTTACACTTTTAACATCACTTCTCATTATAGTAATGCGTTAAAGCCCTATGTTCTAGTTCTTTTCTTTTCTAACTTCATTCATACTGTATTTTGATATTTTTGTAATTAAGTTGCACGCACTACTCTGGTGTGTGCCGTCGTTTCAAAGTGCGTAGGTTCGCAAAGTAAATAAATCAATATAATATCCTGTTTGCTTTAGGTACATTTGGATTGGTTTGGGTAATTATATGGGCAACGTTTATTTATGAAAAACCAGAGAACGATCCTTGGATTTCAAAAAAGGAGAGTGAATACCTGAAGTCTTTTGCAACTAAAGATGAAGTAACAAGTGAGGTAGGTTTAATTATTACTCACAATGTTGAAATTAAGGCCTAATAGTGAGATGTTATTGTGTGGTAGACCTACAATTGCATAATCTTATTTAGGCCTATTCAAATATATACATATACTACACAGTCGAGTCTTTTACATAATATATATATATATATAGGCCTATATATAGGCCTATATTATATATCGATTTCACGAGCGAATATCATCAGCAGAGTGTTCAATGGTTATATATAAGCCGTTAACACTACTAAATTATATATAAATCATCAAAGAAAGGTAAATACAGTGTCTGAATAATACCTTTCCTTAATGTTAATGGCTATCTTGATTTATATTATATGCAACTATTTGTTTCTAGTTGAACATTTTGTGTAATAGAGTGTATCTGGTCTTATTTAAATTTGTTCAACCATGATGCATCTGTGGTCTAATGGTTATGACGCTCGCCTTGACAGCGAGAGGTCGCAGGTTCGAGTCCCGCAGGTTCGAGTCCCGCCAGAGGCATCTTATTACACAATTTCTTTATTCATATATCTTATTTATTTATAGGGCTATATTCGTTGAGAGCTATGCACGATGTATTATTATGTCCTTTTCTCAGACACTGTATTTACTTTTCTTTAATGATTTATATATATATATATATAAGCTTACAGTGTTAACGGCTATCACGATTGAGCGAGTTGCAAATATCATCAGCAGAGTGCTCAATGGTTATTAAACCAGAGCGGAGAAAAACAAAAATAAAAGGTTCAACAGTAGGCTTGATTAGACATTTTATTACTATTTAGTTTCGTGCTTCACATATATGGTACAACAATCTTTAGATAAAATTGCCTGATGACTAAGATACATTATTACAGTAACACAGATTAATTAATTAATTAATTGTAAAACTGAGCATGTGCAGAGTAAAAGTGGTCTACAAAGGCAGGTTCCGTTTCCAGTTCTGGTACCGTTTAAGAAATCGGCCTTTCATTCTTACAACGTTGAAGACGTATTCTATTCACATAAGCTGTTTCGTATTTTTAACAATAATAAATTCTACTTATATAGAATATGTGTAAATGATACGGTACTAAAAATTAAAGTAACTTACAAATAATAGTACGAAAAAATTATAATATAAGACAATTTTCAAAACATAAACAAAGATACAACTCGCGACACAAGTTCCTCGTCAGGTGACGTCAGCGTGATGGCAGTCAACCGAAACGGAAAACGCAGTAGATTTGAACAGAATCGACAAAAACTGGAAGAAGAACGGGAACTGAAAACGGAACCTGAACTGAAACCTTAATAGATGTGTGTGAAAGGCGCTTTAGTGGTTAACAATGGATTAAATAGTGAAAGATAAACTATATATTTAACTATAGTGTGGATTGCATTGCACTATGAAGTGGTTAAGATACAAAATATTTAGGAGGAATTTGCTAGCGTTTCTGCAAGCTGTAATGAGTACGCCTATTTAAGGTGGCCATGGGGACAAATGATGAAGTTTTCCTATAGGCACAAATTGCATCTTTTAGATGGTGGGTTTTATATGCTTTGGCTAGTTTGAGAATTTTCCATTTAAGTGTGTAGTCCATAATATTGGCCTTTTATTCCCATATATTTACTTAATTCAGTGTTAAATTTCTTGGTTGGGTTTCCAAATGATTCTGTGTGGTTGTTATAACTGGCATTGAATGCGTTTTCCGTGAGTCCTACGTACGTTTGGTCTTGTTTGTTTTTGGCTGAGACTGTGGCTTGATAAACGACGAATTTGTTTAGGCAATTGCCAGACGTCGGGCAGTCTTCTGGTTTTCTGCAATTGCAATTTCTGTTCTTAGGTTGCTCGGTTTTCTTTGATAAATTTGATTTCCTGTGCCCGTCTATGTTCAGCTTGAGGATAACCATACAACTGCAGTTGATTTTTATTGTATTACGGTTGAACAGTGTGTGAAATGCATGGTCCGGTGGGAATTCCACGTCTAGTGTTCTAAGGAGGTTTTTCCGACGTTGGTAGCGACAGTCTTGCTGAATGGGGGTTATAGATGTTTCTGGTGCAAGATTTTTTGGGGTTGGTGGTGTCCTTTGTTTGAGGGGGTAAGAATTTCAGATGATGGTTGTATTCACTTTTGTCGAGCGGTCCGACGAATTACCCAAATGATAGGGAATTACCCAAATGATACCCAAATAATACGGAATTACCAAAATGATACACAAATGATACGGATTTACCAAAATCACAGCCCAAATAACTGTTAATTCGTTTATATCAAACTAAAATTTAAATTTGATGTTAGTAGCCCCAGGCCTATAGCGCAAATAATTATTGAATTTAACATAACAAGTTATAAAAACTGTAACGACTAATCCTGACATATAAATATTGTATGTTTAAAATACGAAAGGTTTCACATATAACATAATTTACATAGACATGAATATTTTATTTATTTATTTTATTTAAAACATCTTTAGGCAGGATAACATATACAGGCGAGATCTTACCGCCGTTTTACAATATGGTCCTGCAATCACACAGTACAATAACAACAACAAAAAGTAACCAGCACAGTACAATAAAATAAACAATAGTAAAAACTTTGGTGGAAAACTATTCCCCGCCGGACACCAAACCGGTACTTCCGAGTCAAGGTTTTGGGGCCGGGATTACAAGGTAGGACAAATACTGTACAGTTATTTAAATAGATAAAAATGGTAGAAACTATCCCCCGCCGGACACCATCCCAGTATTTCTGAGTCCAAGTTTCGGGGCCGGGATTAAATGTTAGAAATATAAACCAAGAAAATATAAAAGGAAATGAATTGTGATAATCAGAAAAAGTGATTCTTATAAGTAATTTTGAATAAATTAAGAGATTGACATTCTTGAATTCTGATTGGGATTTTGTTCCAAACTTTTGCTCCAGAGATTTTTTAAGAGCCATTCATTACTGAGCAATATGGAATTGGGGGGATAACATTAAGCGAGTGAGCGTATCTCGTAGAATATCAATGTCGGTTAACAACCATTTCTATATCATTACATAGGCGGGAAGGTGCAAGACCATTTATACATTTGTATAATAAGCATGCTAGGGCGCAATCTCTACGTTCATCAAAAAGTTTCCAATTATTTTGCTTAATAAGATCAATTCCACAAAAATTTATGAAATCAAAATTATTTTTATCTATTCTATCAGCTCGGTTTTTGTAGCCTTAATAGAATGTTTTTGTTTTTGTTAGACGTAATTCCCTACACTGAGATTGCATAAACCATACAGGGTGGTATTGTACTTCTATAAAGAATATTTAGAAGAGATTCATTTAGTGTTTCTGCCAATTTATTTAGGATGTTAATTTTGTACCCAATAGTTTTATTTAATTTTCGAATATGGTCATTCCAGGTAAGGTTTTCATCAATTTGAAGTCCTAAATAACGGATGTTTTTTACCACATTAATGCTTTCATTACCAACATGAATATTTAAAGAGGAAAGAGGGCGAACATTTCTATTTTTAATTAACATACGTTTGGTTTTGCTGGAATTTACAAGTAATTTATTAAATTTAAACAATTTATACCAATTTGCGACATTATTCATGATTGATTGTAATTTGATATTTTCTACTGATTTGTCAGTAGTGTAGATGACAACATCATCCGCATATATGCTACATGATCCTGGAGATACTTATTGTGGATGAGCTGTAAAAGATAACTTTTAAACCATTTGATTTCAGTGTCTTTAATGCCATAATTTTCTAATTTCAAACCATATTGCTTCCATGTTAGAAAGGGTGTTAAGGTAATTTCTTTTAATATAAGGAATTCCTCCTTTAATATATAGACATACTCTACCACCTCTATTTTTCTTTCCATTAATAATATTATTTTCCCTATCTCTTCTAATTATACTATAACCATCTATGTTTACGAGAATATCACTAACATCAGCACTTAACCAGGTTTCAGAGATATATAATACATCAAGTTTAGTTTTGAAAAGTAGGAAAATTGTTTCATCAACCTTCATTTATGAGACTTCTAACGTTAATATGACCATTCATTTGTTTTAGATAATGTACTTACAAAATCAAGGAGTCGAGTTATATCTGAAGGCATCGACCGGCAGATGTAACATAACCATACACCAGATATCTCTTCATCACTTAGTTTGAGGCATTTTGTATGATACCAGTGGCCACATATGCAACATCTAATCGAGTCTCTTTGAGTTAGTTTTTCCCTTTTTTGAGCAATTAGCAAAACAAATTTGTCCTGGTTGATCGCATTTTTTTTCATATTTTCAGTCATTGTGATGAGATATCAACTGCTACAGTTATATAGCCTTTAGCGAATGATTTAAAGCACACCGAGAAAACTTAGATCTACCATGCGTCATGTAGCGAATCTAATAAGTATATATAAAGATATAAAGAAAAATATAACATTTCAAAACAAGTCAGAAAAGTTAGAGATTACTTAGTTGTTTCTCCGTTGATTGTTGCAGTTCTTGTAGAAAATCCAATCAGGGTATCCAATTCACTAGTAGGCTAAGACAATGGGCTCAGCTTGGTATGTATAACTGGAACAAAAAGTTCAGCTATGCTTGTCTGGGCTAGAGCAATAGGTTCAGCTAGGCTTGTCTTGACTTGCACTGAATTTACCAAGGTGACAGTGGAAGGGCTCAGTGAGCACAACATGGAGCCAATTAAAATGAAATGTTCTTGGCTAGAGTGACAGCTAAAGTAGTTGCCACAATGATCACCGGCTTGTAAATCAGTAACTCCACAAAAATTTGAATGAACAAAACCGCAAACAGGTAAAACCACAATAACTTCGAAATGACAAACAGTAAATACTAGAAATATCAGTAATAATGAAATTTAGTGACGATATGCTAGTACAAGTGGCGGCTCTAGGATATAATTTATGGGGGCGGGGGGCTAAGTATTTATGGGTATAACTATAGAGCGCAGCGGTATCTGAGGGCCGAAGGCCCGAGCTAGCCGGAGGTGGGTATGGGAGGGGGTGTCCCCTCCTTCCAAAACAAGATTTTTTTTATATTGGGACTTCTAGATGGCCGGAAATGGCGGGGATGCGAAAACTAGGCCTATTTTGTTTTTGGTCCGACTGCCCGACGAACTTTGGCCGATATGGAGGCTTAAGCCTCCTGCCCCCTTCCCCTGCTGGCGCCGCCACTGAGGGAGGGGGTTATCATTTAAAGACATATATAAATATATGTCCGAAAATATTCAAATGACATTAGAAACAGATGAAACGAATAAGTGATAAAATAAAACGTACTACATTAATGAAACGAAACCATTAGCAATTATAAACAAAATAAATCATTATTAATGCATAAATGAAAAATACTGTATTATTATTATTATTATTAGCAGTAGTAGCAGCAGCAGCAGCAGTAGTAGTAGTAGTAGTAGTAGTAGTAGTAGTAGTAGTAGTAGTAGTAGTAGTGTAGTAGTAGTAGTAGTAGTAGCAGCAGCAGCAGTAGCAGTAGAAGCAGTAGCAGTAGAAGCAGAAGCAATAGCAGTGGCAGTAGTTGTAGTAGTAGTAGTAGTAGTAGTAGTAGTAGTAGTAGTAGTAGTAGCAGTAGCAGTAGCAGTAGCAGCAGCAGTAGCAGTAGAAGCAGTAGCAGTAGTAGTAGTAGTAGTAGTAGTAGTAGTAGTAGTAGTAGTAGTAGTAGTAGTAGTAGTAGTAGTAGTAGTAGTAGTAGTAGTAGTAGTAGTAGTAGTAGTAGTAGTAGTAGTAGTAGTAGTAGTAGTAGTAGTAGTAGTAGTAGTAGTAGTAGTAATTACGAATAATTTTGACAATTAAATACTGTATGTTAAAAATACGAAAGGTTTCAAAGTTTTAACAGACCAACTTGTAGAAGTCAACCACGCCAAAAGCGATGAACGAATATAGATGTCTGTCTCTAATGCGACTGTATCATTGTAAAACGGCATTGGTGCTTTTCAACTAGTTCAAGCCCACGTTCTTAATGATTTTCCATTAAATCTGTTCAATATCTGCTGCTGATTTTACCAATTTCGGATTTAGCTGGTTTAATGAGTCAGCAAGTCGGGTTGTTGGCGAAGTTGGCTTTATGGTCCCTTAATGTGATAAATGCTTCAGTTTTTCTGTAGTATTAATTTTGCTGTCTATGCTTAGCTCTTTGGATGTTTTTGCCTTCATCGCAATTGAATTAAAAATAGTTGGGCTCACCTTTTTATGATTTTGTGATGTATTATTATTATTATTATTATTAATTTATTAATTAATTAATTAATTTATTTATTTATTTATTTTTATTTTTATTTATTTTTAATTTTTTATTATTTATTATTTATTATTATTATTATAATTATTATTATTAATATTATTATTATTATCATTATTATTATTAGGTGCCGATCCAGATTCGGGTATGAATTTGAAGGGTAGTTTAAAGTACTAACATCCAAAACCTAAATATCCCAAAAAAAACGTATCAATGAATATAAATGAAACTTTCAACAATAGTTTATCATGGTCCATATTTCCATACGATAACCTTTGTGTATTTATGTATGGGTGAGTGTGGATGTGTGTGTTAGCAGTCTCCTTCACAAACAGTTTTAGGTTCCATTTATAGGGAACGTCCAAGACCTAAATATCTCAAAAACTGATCGATGGATCTCAATAAACCTTTCTGGAAAAATTCATCATGTTCAAAGGAAAGCTTAACATTTTGATGACAACCCGGAATATCATATTGTGGATGTGGGGAGCCTTAAAATGGAACGTCCGAGACCTAAATATTTCAAAATTATTTGTTTTCAAGGAGAAAAGATGCGTTTGAATTTTTTATACAGGGGAGAATTGTATGACCGGAGGTATGAACTTTTGGAGTGCACCATTTTGCAATTATTTTGATCTTTTACTTTTAGGCCTAATTCCAACATCAGGTCTTATTATGGCAATGAAGAAAAGCCATGTTTTGTTTTACAAACAGACATATTAAATCTAGTTATTATTATTATTAATATCAGGGAGGAGTGAAATATTTATAGTGTTATCTACTATCCTTTAGAATAGATTGTTTCCATGGCGAGATATAATTACATCATCTGCTGTTTGGGCGATTACCATTGGCTACTTTGCATATGCATTTGCATATTATGTCATTCTTACTGAAGCACCAACTTTCATGTATACTGTCTTAGGTGTTGATGTAAAACGAGTAAGTTGAAATGGAAAATATACTTTATAATCAATATAACAATAACTATATAATTGTAAATATAATCATGATATGAAGTATACTGTACAGCAATATCAGCAAAAATAACAATTACAATAACAATGACATATGAACAAACATAGACATGGCAAGGCCGAAAAGACAATGACATTTGGTAATAATGATAATAGACAACATACAAGATAAAAAAAAACTAAATGTATTGAAAAACAAATGGTTGCCTTGAAATTTAAAAATGTGTATATATTGCTCTTTAAAGTTTACAACGTAAAAACAATAATAATAACGTTAATGATAAGATAATTAATAATGATAATGACAATAATATTATTTTCCTAATACAGACTGGTTTCTTGCTGTCAATTCCAAATATTGTACGCTTTCCCATCATGCTGCTGTCTGCAGTGTGTGCTGATTATATCATTCATCGTAGGTGCTTAAGTGTTGCGATTACAAGGAAGCTGTTTGTAATTCTTAGTAAGATATTCTCGATTTACGACATAAGAATGATAATAATAACAGTAATGATTATGAAGGTGCACTGCATTCCAATTTTCAGCTATAGGTATTTAGCAGAAATTTACAATTTTAATAACACACCAAGTGAAATATCATCATCATCATCATCATTATTGCTCTCACAATCTTATAATTATGATTGTGACTGCAATTGAAACTACTACTATAGTTGCACCTATTAAATGAATATCACACCATGCCATCTACTCCCTCATCGTTATTCATTGCTTTGCAACTTAGATGGTATAGGCCTAACATTATTTCTACTCTGGTACTGTTCATGGTGCTATGTGATTTACTGTTATTCTTATCAAATATAATATATTCACTATCATCAATATATAATCACCATAATCATAATCATCACCATCATCACTAATGTGTCATATTAACAATCTCACTGTAATTATTTTATTTATTAATAGTATTATTATTAATATTATTATTTATTATTATTATTATTATTATTAGTAGTAGTAGTAGTAGTAGTAGTAGTAGTAGTAGTAGTAGTAGTAGTAGTAGCAGTAGCAGTAGCAGTAGCAGTAGCAGTAGTAGTAGTAAAGGTAGAAGGCATGCGTTGGAGTGTTGATATTAAATATTGCAACTTTGGGATTGTGTTTACAGATATCGGCGTGTCAGGTGTCTGTTTTATTGTTCTAGCTTACGCTGGTGACAATATTGTGACATTCATGATTCTTGTGACAACTGCCTTTAGTGCGCTTGGGTTCAATGTAGCAAGTGTTACACCGAACCCAATGGACATATCTACAAACTATTCAGGAATAATTGTAGGAATAATGGTAACTTTTGGTTCCTGTGCTGGATTTATCGGCCCATTAATTCTTGCTCTAATAATAGAGAATAACGTAAGTATAACAATCGTTTATATATTTTTCGAGATCAGTAAATATTTCTTGAAGGTGTAGATTGCGAGTGTCAATAATAAAATAATGAAACTTTCGATATACCATTTGTTGGAAAAGGGTTTTTGAGATAATAATAATATGCTAGACTTATATAGAGCTTCATTTATAATTACTTAAATTATTATAGTATGCTTCTTATTCATATTTTTCATCATAACTACGTTGCATACTAATTAATTTCCAACTTACCAAATATATATTTTATATTTCTATATAATTCTGTTTTTCTTCTTATTCATCTTCATGGGATGTTTTTTATGATGGAACTTTGCATTGTAAATCTTAAATCTTCATCTTTCGTTTTTCTCTTAAAACCGAAAGGTCCACTGATTAATCTCAGATAAGAAAGTATAATACATACTCCAAGTATTGGAATACACGCCATCGTGTTGGGATTCAATATTTCGACATTAATTATGTCATCATCAGGAATGAAAAAAATATCCATATTATCAAGCCTATATGCACTAGTACCAAAAGTGTTTAACCAATCAAAACATTACCTCTAGTAGGTGACATAGCAGTGATTTAAACAAAAGATCAAAGCATTC